CAGTTTTTTAAAAAAAATATTTTCTGTTCTTTAACTCACCAAATTACTGAGATGCAATCTGAGATCATTTGTTTATGAGGCAGCCAAAAACTCTCATTGAGTAACTGGGTGAATGAGTCCCACAGATATCACTGTGTCACATGAACTCCTTGTGATCCAGCCACTACATTCAACTCTGCTCTTTGCATGTTAAGTACATTCAAAGTCTTTCATCAGCACCTGTGTTCTGACCACATGATGACTTTAAGAGCAACAGTCCGCTTCTAATAAAACACAGAGACACAAATTACAGGAAAAGATAAGTTCAAAAAAAGTTCAAACTGGAAACAGATTGATAAAACTGACCTGATCACATTTTTAACAATTAGAGTCGGAGGGAGAGATTCTTAAAGATTTGAACCATAAACTCATTTTAAATATTATGAAGATAGTTTCATGACAACAGGAATGATTTCTGTTCTCTGTAAGAAACACTTCCTCATTTCAACAACAGTGGGTGCAGTGAAACTGAACAGTAAACCACAACCTCCATTTTGTTCTCTGCTTACAGTCACCGACTCATTAGGAGCTGTGCAGGTTACATAATTTTATTTTATTTATTGTATATTAAAGAAGGTTAGTATTAAGGATTATTATCAGCCTTTACTTGAAGAAATAATCCTGTGCTGCAGGGCTTGCTGTTGACAACACTGCAAACCCTTTCTCTCAGTGAGCTTCATGTAGTCACCTGAAATGGTTTCCCCTCACAGCTGTGCCTTGTCAGGGTTCATTTGTGGAGTTTCTTGCCTTCTTAATGAGGTTGGGACCATCAGTTGTGATGTGCAGAAGTCAGGTTGGTACACAGCCCTATTTGACAATTGTTAGAATTCACATTATGGCATGAACCAAGAATTCTAAAATAAATATATATTTAAGAATATAAAGGATAAAACACGTTTTAAGTTATCGCATGCTTTTGTTTAATACATAATTCCATATGTGTTCATTCATAGTTTTGATGTCTTTATTGAGAAACTACAATGTAAATAGTCATGAACAAAACAAAAACAAACATTAAATGAAACCTTTGACTGGTAGTGTAAATCTACTTGTCTGTATCTGGAATGCAGTTCTGCAACTTTTGGGCTGTCAGTATCAGCTGTTTGTGAAAGGGTCTCTTTTATTTTGTCACCTGGTTTATTTATCATGTAAACCAGGTGAAACAGTATTTAATACAGCAGAAACTAAAACATAAACATCAAAGAAATAACACAAACAACATATTTAATTGGTAAAAATAGGACAAAATAAATACTCACCCAATAAAATGATTAAAAAAAGGCAAGTTTTTCTTTATTTAAAATGTTTTAATATTTTTATTTACTTTTTCACAGAACTAAAAATGGAAAAACCATACTACATTTTAAAGGCATTATTCAGTTTTTCCTCATGCAAATTATCAGATGTCCTTTTTAGAGTATAAATACACATAACAGTCTAAGATGTGATGGAAATATAAATCAGGCTTCATATCAGTGAACAAAGTCCTGACTAACCTGTGCTCGCATAGCTGGACTGGCCATCGGGCATACCGGGCATTTGACCGGTATGCCCGATGGTAATTTTTCATTTTTATGGGCCGATGGGTTTTTTTTCATGGGGGTTTTTTTTCCCGTAAAGGTATAAACACTGAAAGGTGGTGGATTGGCCAGATGCTGCGAGATGTGTAAAAAAAAACTCAATTGTTGTTTGGTGGTGGCTATTGCGGAGCTTCCACAGATTCAGTAACATTAGCAAGTGGTGGAGGCACAAAGGTGGATTTATTCTGTCTTTATGCTGCACAGCTGCCTCTTCTTCTCCTCTCATTCTCTCACCCTCTCTCTCCTGTTGCTACTTCTGGTTTGGTTATCTGGTGAGAGGGAAACATGCAGATGAAACCAGGAGATGTCCTTACTGAATCATCAGAGCTGAACAGGTGATGGCGAAACAGGTTTACCTTTTAGGTGACATGAATCAGTTGAAGGGAAGTTATGAACTGTTTCTGAGAGACAAATAACACCAGCATCCTTTTCTAAGTAGCTGACAGCTGGTTACTGTGCAGGGGCAGGTCTAGCAAAGTTTTGCCAGGTGGGCAGGTAGGGCATTAACAAGGAAAGGGGGCACAAAGAAATACTTTCTTATTCTCATTTAAAATTTCTCACTTTTGACAAATAATTATCTGAATCTTACAACAAACGTTTTCATCTGATGTAAAATGTATAGAAATCCATTATTGTACATAGTAATTTTTTTAGGGACCCATCATAATTTCTTCAGAAGTAGCTAAGTACTGTATATGATGCCAGTATTTTCCCACATTTTCTAGATACTGTACCAGTACTGTGTGTAAAATGCCATCAAAAAGTCAATTAAGTTTTATTCTTTCTCACCTGTCTTTCTATCTCCTTTCACTTTTTAAAGGTTGCCATGTTAGAAAAAATATTTTGCCCTGCCATGCTGTTTATTGATGTGGCAAATTAATTGTTTATGAAAATATATGTAACTCTGT